CCCTCTCGGTCTGCTGGTAGTCCGAGTTCCTCCCTGGATCGCCATCTAGATGCGACGCTGGCCGTGCTCCTCGACCTCCCCCTCCATCTTGATCATCTCGCGCTCGAGCTTCCTCTGAGTTCCCCCCTCCGGACTGTGCTTCGTCGTCTCGAGCCTGGCGCCGCGCTAGCGGCGCTTCACCCGCCTAGCGCGCTGGTTGCCGCGCTGAAACCTCGCGCAGATCGGGCGATCGCAATCCTCCTCCTTGATCTTCTGGACTGCGCCCATCTTCAGCCTCGGAGACAGGTTGGCCAGTGGTCGCGAGTCTGCGCGCACTCGCAGCATGACTAGAAGCGCCAGCGCACATCTCTTCCAGCGGTGCGCCGGCGGGATCAGCGCGTAGCCTCCTGAGTTCATCGGGGTCTTCTCGACGTCGGTGCGCTCGGAGCCCGCGCAGTCAATCTTCTGCAGCTCGGCGTCGCGCCGGGCCCGGGGTGAACTCCCAGTTCGCCTCGACCTCGGAGCCCCCCACCGCGGTCTCCAGGTCGGCGGGCGCCACGAGATGCAGACCGGCCTCCTGGCGGGCATGGCGCCCCGTCCGGGCCCCGGCCGCCCGGCGCCTCTGCGCCCGGGCTGGGCAGGAGGAGCGCACCGCCCCATGGCGGCCTTCTTGCTGCCGGGTTTTGACGCCGAGAGAACGCCGAGAATTCGGGGCGGCTCGAGAGGGCGAAGAAGCTGCGAATGGGGGGGGGGACTCAGCTTGGCTAGTCAGATCCCCAGGAGAATTCCCGGCGACCCCCAGCTTAGAGAAGGAGAGGAGAGGAGAGGAGAGGAGAGGAGAGGAGAGGAGAGGAGAGGAGAGGAGAGGAGAGGAGAGGAGAGGAGAGGAGAGGAGAAGAGAAGAGAGGAGAGGAGAGGAGAGGAGAGGGGAGGGGAGGGGAGGGGAGGAGAGGAGACTGACTAAAGCGACCTACACGCCCTACCTCTGTCGCGCAAACTTCCTCGCGACAGTCCTGAGGCTGTCCTCTCGCGCTCGCCGCTTAAAAGCCGGAGTGGCCGATCCAGCCGTCGAGCGTGCTGATCTTCTCCTGGCAGTCGCTCCACTCAAGCTCGTAAGATTGCTCGATCCGCGCGCCGTGCTGGCCCCTGAACTTGCAGCGCGTGGCCCGGCCTCCCAGCTCCTTTAGGTAGACTGGCAGCCTCTGGGCGGTGGTCGGATCGAAGAGCTCCCCCTGGGGTCGCGCATGATGTAGACGACGCTGATCATCAGGTATCTCCCAATAGTCCTTCTCGTCGTCCTGGTTCGCCATCCAGGCGCTCTCCCTCGTGCTCTCCTCGTCGCGGGTGAAGCTCGGGAGCTTCGTCTCGAGTCGGGCCCGGCTTGAACTCCGCCGAGGGCCTGCCCATCAACGCAATTGACCTGTGGCCCGACGGAAGCTTGGTCATCGGGATCTTGCACCCACCAGACTCTCCGAACTTGATCACGTTGGCCGTCATATCAGTGACTCCCCAAAGAAAGCCCAGGAATTCCGCGGGCATCAGAGGGGGGGCGCGCGCGAGGTAGAAACAACAACTCCAGCGCGCCGCACTTGCAGAAACAGAGCGGCGCCGCCGCCTTGGCAATGGGGCGAATGCGACCGCCCGCTCCGTTGGCAAACAGCAGGTCCCCCTCGTGCTTCGCGTGGATTACGTGGCCTTTGCCGTCGAAGGGTTTCTTCATCGTCTTGAGGTCTGGTTCTCCGATGAAGGCCCGGGCCGCTGCTGTGTCCACCGGCCCGTGGTCCTCCATGCCACATCAGGCGAACTCCCGAAAAAGCTCAGATCCTCATCGAATGTGTTCTAGGAGCGCGTCCCAAAGTGGAGCTGAGGTTCCGAAGGAGTCGAAAAAAAACATAGAAACCGCCCGCTGCCTTGACATTCGTCGTGGACCCCGTCTTCTCCGACTTCAGACGATCTGCTTTTGATCCACACCACTTCCTGCAATCCTCCCTTCAATGGCCCTTCCACCTGCAATTCGTACATCTGGTTCGTTTCTTGATGTCGTCGTTTGATATGTTGCGGAAGCCCGGGTGGGCTGAAGAGGATGGCGAAGAAGCCTCTTCCGGGCGAAGAATGCTCGATCAACCTTTCGAACTGCTTTCAGCTGCCTGGCCTCCTTTCACGTCCGTCGTCGTCTCGAATCTGCCAATTCTGCAAACGCCTCAAAGGCCTCGTCATCGAACGGTTCCTGAGCCTCCACCGACGTCAGAAACGTGGCGGCCTCCTCAGAAGGAAACTCAATTTCGAAAATGTATCCTGACCCGCTGATGTCGTCTTCCTCTGGCTCCGCGATCGCGGCAAAGATTTTGGCCGAGGGCTGAGAAACTTCAGGCGGCGCATTCTTGTCCGTCACATCTAGTTGCAGCAACGACCTCCTGACCGATTTGCTCGACAAATCTTCTGCCATGAAGGTTAAAACATTTACACGCGTTTGCCCCGTCATCGGAGAACCTTCTTCGGAATGCTTGGTTGTGACGTCATCTGGAAATTCCAAGCCGAACGATTCAGCCAGAGAGATTTGAAAACCCCTTCTGCCAACGAACTCCGTGAGACTCTCTCCGCGCTTGGTATTGATATCGAAAAATGCGGCATTCTGGACTTCCCGTATGTGGTCCCCTGGTCTCTCGCCGTTAGTAACCGAAGATGTTGCATCAGCGCTGACACCCCGTCTTCTTCATCCAGCGAACGCCCCGGAATTTCCCTTGAAGCTCCATCGGACATCCTTCGAGAATCTTCGATGCTTGGGTCTCAAGCTGAAGCCCTGTCGCTTGTGACCAGGAGGTCCAATTATGTAGATAGGTGCCCAGGTGCTCAAGTCCGCGGAAAGGCGGGGCACGGAAAAATCTGTGTTCCTCTCGGTTGGTCCCTTCCACGCCGTGCTCCTGTCTGAGGAAGTCCATTGCGCATCGGCGCATCCCAGGACCATGCTTGCTGCCACCACCACCATGCTTGTTCACTCCAAGCATCCTCCTTTACTATTTATGGAACATGTTCTCCCTCCTCTGCCGATTCCTGGCTTGTTTCCTCGTCTGACGTGGACACCACCGTCATTGGTGTCGTCGAAACGCCCGCATCGAAAGAAAACGCCTGCCTCCGGTCGGGCACCACGCTCCGGCTACCGTTGTCTGTGAAGGCCCGAGAGGGGCTGGACATATCTCTTTTCTGTGCGAGCGCCTCAACATTGCCCAAATCATCTGGGCCCGTCCATGACGGGCTGAAAGCCTAGAAGGCTATGGCAGACACAAAGAGGGGGGGAAGAGACGAGGACAGAGAGGACAGTGGGGAGGAAGACATCGAGCTGGAATCGGCGACACATCGCCGATTGGCCAGCCCCCGAGAGCGGACCCGTACGTCCCTGGGCAGGGTACTCCGGATTTCGTAATAAAGGGAGGGGGGTCTCATTTCGGAGGGGGTCTCTTCCAGTCTATCTTGGAGGGCCTGGGGGGGTCTGGGGACGGTGTTTTGGAGGGTTCTCCCACGGGGGAGGTCTGAAATGGCTTGTCTTGGAGGGTCCAGACCCCCTCCCTTTTATTACGAAATCTGGAGTAGGCACCTAGTGGCGATCAGTGGGCTTGGGGGTCCATGCATCCCATCGTCTGGTTTTCGGGTCCTAACTCGGGCCTCTGGCGGCCGTTCGTTCGGGGCGAGCAGGGCAGCCCCAGAACGTTCTCGGGTGCAGCTGCTGAACCGCACGCCAGGGCTGGGAAGCTGCTGGGAACCGACGAACATGCCGATAATCTCGAACCTCGAATCTCGAACATCCCCCTGAGCCTATCCTCCCTGACGTTGTCCCTGACCCCATGGGTGAGGGAGGATATTGTACGGCCAGACCTAGGACAGACTAACATCCTTCAGAAACATGAGACCCTCCGCTGGCCAAACTGAAGAACAGTCGAGGGTAACCTCACCCAGGATGCACAAGAACAGCCAAGAAAAACAACCATGAGGGCACCTTCCCCGAACCTACCTCGATCTTATACATCGAGCCGACCGCATTCGAAATCTGCCTGCAGCTCGCTCCCCGATGGCACCCGCGCCAATACCGAGGGCCCTGCAATCATCCATGCGGCTTCCTCCAGGATCCAGAAGGCACCCCAAGGGGAGGACGGCTCGAGCTAAACAGTGTTCCTCGTTTTTGTGTTGTGTTCGGTGTTCCTCGTTTCGTCTTCGCTCCGACTTGCTGCGAAACGAACTCCAAACGAGAACGGCCCACGAAATCGCCAAAATCACCGTTTAGCTCGAGCCCTGGGGAGGAGAGGGCGGGATGGGAATGATCGTAGGATTGGGTCGGGCATGTCCCCGTACAGGCGGATTTTGGACGAAAAAGTAAAACAAATCAAAACATGCCCCAACATGTTACTTTGTTCTTACTATGTTTGAGAATTCCTCCTGTAGAGGGACGTGCCCGACTTAATCCCTGCGCGAGGCGCCAGGGAGGGCCCTCCCGACGGCGTGGCCCCCGCCACTCGTGCTGGAGACATCCTGCATCCCCGGCTCGGGGAGACATCGTGGACCCCCTCTGGTTGTGGTGTAGCCTCTCCTCCCTTCCGATGATATCCCCCCACACGCACGCACGCACTCATGCACAAACACACACGCACACGCACAAGCACAAACACATGCGCACAAGCACAAGCATACACAAACACAAACACACACACAAACACAAACACACACACACACACACGCACGCACAAACACAAGCACAAGCACAAGCACAAGCACAAACACACACACACACACATAAGCACTAACACGAACACACACACACAGACAAACCCACAAACCCATAAACACACACACAGAGACACACACACACAGAGAGAAACACACACACAAACGAACACACACACACACACACCGCCCCAATGCAGAAAACAGCGCCCGCCATCGCGGCCCTTCCCACCCGCAGCCTCTCTTGCTGCCTGCGCCGCCCTGCCTGCCGTGTGCCCAGGAGCGGGCGCGCGCCCCCCGCCCTGCTCCTCGAAGAGGTCTGCTCGGGTCACGAGGTCTAGGAAGTCCGCGCGCCCCTCCAGGGGCGAACACGGCGCACATGTAGCTTGGAGGTCCCAACACCGTGTGGTGACAGACCCGGCGGCGACCTCGAAATCCTGGAAGGAAAGAAAAAGCAACAAAACAACAACAACAACTCACCGCGCGGTCCGTCACCACGCGGTTTTGGGACCCTGGAGGCTCCAGTCGCCCGAGACATCCTCGGATAACGACCCAAGTCCCAAAACCGTGCGGTGACCCCGAATCCCCACCGACTCACCACACGGTGTGGTCACCTCCCCGTTAGGAGCCCCCGATTATCGCAGGCACTGCTGGGGGGGGCCTCCGGGACAATGACATCAGGCACGCTGGATCTAGGGCCTGCGTGACTGGCATACAATCGCAAATTGGTTGGAAGACGGGATGAAGAGCGGAAGGGAAGGGGGGGGAAACGGAAAGGGAGAGGAAAAGGGGAAGAGGGGGAATGGCGGAGGGGGGGACGGGGACATCCGCCATCCCTCCTGCGTTGTCCCCGTCCCCCCTCGCTTCGTCCCGGCCTCTTATAGCTTCGCTTCGCTCATCGCGCATCGCTCCTCCTCCACCCTGCACCCCGCGCTCCCTTCTCCCGTCCAGGACCCTCTCCTCCCATCTCCTCCCCCGCCTCCCCGCCCCACCTGCATACACTTCCAGTCCCACAACCTCGTCGTCTACCGGGGGGGGGGACTATCAGTACATGGCTGAACATCCCTTATCACACTATCTCTCGTCAAGCTCTGCTCTCATGTTAAAAATATCTACATCCAATATGATGGGATCACTCCACCACCCCCTACTCTACTCGCCCCCCCTTTCCCCGATCCCTCCCTCCCCCCTCGTCCCCCTCACCCTACCCTAACCCAATTCCCAAGTTACCGTTTCCCGATCCCGTTTCCCGTTCGGGTCAGTTCCCCCTCTCCTCCTCCCCTCGTCGTCGTCTCCTCCTCACTCCTCCTACTCCACTCTCCTCCTCCTCCTCCTCCTCCTCCTCCTCCTCCTCCTATTCATATGTTTTGTTCATCCTAGTTTTCTTCATATTATTATTATTCCTCTCCCGCCTCCTCCTCATCATCTTCCCCCTCCTCCTCATCTTCCTCCTCCCCCTCGTCCTCCTCCTCCCTTCCTCCTCCTGCAACATGCAAAGCAGCAGGGTGCCGTTGCCCTGGCTGCTCGGAAAGCAGGCGCGGGACGCCCGCGAAGCCTGACAGCGCCCCGAACGCCAGAGCGGTCGGAGCGCGAAGCGGAAGGGAGCGCCACGAGGCGCTGGAGAGGGCCCGCGAACAGGACCGGGCACTGTTGGCGGCGAGCCTGGGGTGGAAGTGAGATCGGGAGCGGCAAAAAGGGGGGCGTCAGAGAGGGGGGGGGGTGCAAATCATGACCGGCGGCATGTGAGCGGCCAAGCGGGGGGGCCAGGGACGTAATGAAATAAGAAGAGGCGCCATGAAATCCGAGAAGTATCATGGCCCCCGCCATGATATCCACCCCCCCTTTAGTCATCACCCCCCTCTTTTCCGCCCCCGATGAGAGACCGGGCAGGAGCCTTCTCAGAAGGCTCGGATGAGAGAGGGCAGGCCTTCTCAGAAGGCTCGGAAGGCTCCGGGCCTTCTGTGAAGTTTTCGAAGTCTCCGCGTAGAATACATGAAAGTCTTCTCAGAAGGTGCGAAGGCCTCAGAAGGTGCGAAGGCCTCAGAGAAAGGCGGACCGGGCACCAGGCGTAACCGGCACCGCAGCCACCGCCACCAGGAGGGGGAGAGGGGGTCGTCAGAGTCGCCGCAGCCCGCCCCGCCGCCCGCCTCGCTGCCGCCCGCCGGAGGGCGCGAGGGGTGCAAGGGGGGGGGGGGCCCTGGAGGGCTCCTGGCGGGGGGACCGCGTCCCCGAGGGCCCACCCGCCGACGCCAGCGAGCGCCTGCATGATGGTGATGCCCAAGCGGCGCGCAGGCCAGCGCGACCCGCAGCCTCTCCCCGAGTTCGAGCCGACGTCTAGCCAAACGCGGGCTCTTGGCCCAAAAGTGCCGAGCCGAGGCCTGGGTGTGCCCGCAACCGGATGGGCAAACACGCCGGCTTATCGCCAGAGCCTAACAACAGCAGCCTCAAAAGGACCCCACTACACCAAGGGGGGGGTCGGGGCTCGCTACGTAGGAGGACGAGGGGCGAGGCGAAGGGAGGGGGGCGGGCCACACAGGAGGGCTGGGATCCCAGCTCGCAGTCTCGCTGTTCGGGGGCTTAGGTCGGGCATGTCCTCCTGCAGGCGGATTGTGGACGAAACATCAAACATACCAGACAAATCTTTAAAAATCATCGGAAATGGTAGAAACATCGTCCTGACTGAAGCCCTGAGGCCCTCCAGGCTCGTGAGGGGTGCTCTGGAGGCCGTCTGGGCCACCCCGATTCCGAGAGGCACCTTGGGACGGGGGCACCTCCCGCCACACCCGACCCTGTGCCGAGAGGCAAAGCTCCGAGGCGGGAATGTGTACATGACCACCGCCTGGAGGGTCAGTTTTCGGAGCCTCGGCAGGCGGTGGATATGGACATATTCGGGCCCCCAGGGGCCGAAATTTATCCATATCCACCGCCCGCTGGGGCACCAGGATGTCGGTTCCCAGGCGGTGGATATGGATAAACCCCCGCCTCGCAAGAGCGAGCTGTGGATCCCGAGAACGTGGAGGCGTGGAGGACGCCCTGCGCGGGGCTCGCGCGAGGGCGAGGGGGCAGCCGTGCACGACCACGCCTCGGGCCTGGGACGGCGTAGGCGCACCTCGGGAGGCGTTCGGCGAGGTCCAGGTGACGTGGTGGGGGGCCTGAGGCCAAAAGCTGTCCCCTTCCGAGCGCAGTGGAACATGCTAGACTGGAGGTCTCACAAGACTACACGAAAGAGTGACGCTGGGTAAGAGTGACCTCTGGTGCGCGGCTTTTGGGTGGCCGCGCGGGGGCCAACCACAAGCGCGCAAGACGCTACTACTGCTCCGCGTTCGGCGATCGGGGGACCCCATTGGGCCCGCACCAAAGGTCACTCTAGCGAAAGGTCACTCTTACGTGTAGTCGACAGATGGGGTCGAAGCACATGGGCTTGGAATATCCCGCCGCGTCGCCAGCTTTGAGAAATTCGGGCTCCCATCGAGCCATATCGCCGATTCATCGGCGATGCCGCGCGTGGACCCCATCTGGGAGGCCTGCGTCGACTGAAAGGTTCCCCCCCCTCGAGTCTGCGGCGGGGCGGCTCGGCGGGAAGCCCGTCTGGCTAGATGCGCTCCGAGCGGCCCAGGCTGAAGGCGCAGCTCTGCCCGGTGAGCTTCTTGCGCCCGTCGCCTCCGCCCGTGGCCCGGGCGCGGCACGGGGCTCCCACCCCCTCCGGCCCCGCCGCCGCGAGAACCGGGAGGCGGATCTTGCCACGAGCAGCGGACAGATCCGTGTCCGCACCCTCACGGTCTCGATTCCAGGGCGCGGTCCCGCGGGTACGCGCTCGCACGGTTGCGCTCCGCGCAGGGCATCCGCGGAAAGACGCCCCGTATCCGCGCGGTCGCGGCCTAGGGGCCCGGTCTGCGAGGCCGCAGATACGAACATGTGTTTCGCCCACCAAACTGGTTCCGTTTAGATCGATTCTCCTTCACCACAAGGGCCGCACCTTGCCTGCCAAGAAAGAGAGAGAAAGAGAGAGAGAGAGAGAGAGAGAGAGAGAGAGAAAAGAGAGAGAAAGAGAGAGAGAGAGAGAGAGAGAGAGACCGCGGCCGCGCCGAGGGCGGTGCGAGAGAGAAAGAGAGAGACAGAGAGAGAGGGAGGGAGAGACGGAGAAAGAGAGGGAGAGAAAGAGAGAGAAAGAGAGAAACAAAATAACAAGACGTTCACGGGCCTGCAAGGCCAAAAGCAGAATGATCAGGTGAAGGATGGGGGGTATGTCAGCAACAGTTCGCCCGCGGCACTGGAACGCCAATTATTGTGGATAGTGAGCTTGCGAACTATGTCGCGCACTTGCGGGAAAGAACCAGGAAATCCTTGTGGACCCCCAACTCTTGGTGCAAAATGGGGGGGTGCCCTCCCCGATTTCTTTCCGCAGGAGGATCCCAAGGAGGACTCCCGCTCTGACCCGTCGAATCGGCCGCCGCACCTTCTTCCCCCTGACCCGTTTCCCTTTTCCCATATGACTCCCCCTCTCCCTCCCGCCCCTCGCACACGTATCCCCATCCCTGTTCCTTCGCAGTGTTCAAACAATGATACGGATAGACAAATGAACAGACAAACACTCGCATCGCAACGACGCGCGTTCCTGGCCAGACGAGCACGCAGCACCCATCCGAAGAACATGAACATGCCAACAACGTTACATCTGAACGTACTATGTTTCCTGATTGTCACAGGCTGAACTACCAAGTGCAGAATTCGAACCACTTGTTGGCCGTCGCGCCAAAACCCTCTCTAAACGCGCTTTGATATCCGCCGATCCGGCGTGTGCGTTTAAAAGGTCTAAGCTGAAGCTCTGCTTCAGCATGAGTTTTAGCTCTGCTTGGGAGGGGGGGAAGTGGGGGGGACCTCATTAACTGACGAATTCGGTGCTGGGCACCCTACCAGCCCCCCCCCTCGATTTCGCCCCCCCCCCCCCCCCCCATCCCCTCCGGAGTTTTGCTTTGCAAGGGTGAGGGCAGGAGAGGTGGTGGTGGTGTGGTGGGGGGTGGGGGGGGGGGGGGCGCTCCTCTCAGGCGCGAGCGGGAGCTGCAGGGAAAGGCGAGAGGGTCCGCCTTGCAGATGGGCGCTCTGCAAGGGGAGGGGGGGGGGGACAGGAGAGAGGGGGGGGGACAGTGGACAGGAGAGAGGGGGTGGGGGGGACACGAGAGAGGGGGGGGGAAAGGGGAGAGGGGGGGGAAAGGAGAGAAGGGGGGGGGGAAAGGAGAGAGGAGGGTGGGGGGGGCCGGGATCATCACCATTTCCATCTCCATCACCACCATCACCATCGTCACATCACAACCACCACCATCACCATCACCATCATCATCATCATCATCATCATCATCATCATCACCGTCATCAGCATCAGCATCAGCATCAGCATCAGCATCATCATCATCATCATCATCATCATCATCATCATCATCATCATCATCATCATCTGGAGCGCCCCGGATCGGCGGCACTGGCCGGAGGCCACTACACTATCGTCAGCACATCGATTCACTGGGCGGCGGGCCAGACGACCCAAGCAGAATCTAGAAATCTCGGGCTGCCTGGCTGCCTGTTGGACTGTCCACCTGTCGCAGGTTGGCGTGGCCACGCGTCGCACCAACGTCCGCACAGTCGGGCGCCATGCCGGGCGCCGTGGACGCCACGCGCCGTACGCGAGACGCCGACGGCTCGAGGTCGCCCTGGCTATTGTCATCGTCGTCGTCGTGGCCGATGTGCGCGGAATGGCTGTCGCTCGTGTTGGCCGCGTCGACAATATCCATGCGCTGGGCGTCGGTATCCTGGTCAACCACGCGCCAACCAGCCCCGAATATTATCCGCGGCTTCTTCCGTCGCGCGCGCTGCACTCTTTGCTGCGATTCCCGCGTCAAGGTCCACAGCGATGATCCGTAGAAGGCGACTCGAAATATCGCACTGCACTCGCAAACCGTTTTGCTTAGAAACCACTACTTCTCGCCGCGAACAGTGTCGAAACCTGCCAAATACGGTGGTCCAGTCCTGTAAATTTGGCAAACGAATACCCCACCACATTGCCCAAACTATTTCTTGTGATTGAAAATCTACTTTGAGGCCGTCGATCACAAGATTGTTTTGCATACCCTGGCCGTTATGCTTCCCGACGTGTCAACACTTGTGTTTTGCCAGCGTGGAAAACAAGACCGACTGCGGCAACTGCTGAACTCACGTCCGACATCATGGTTCTCATTTGGTGCTTCGCCCTGACGGCAGGAAACAACATCGCCCGCATGACGTTGATGCGTAATGTTCGGAGATGCGGCGAATCCAAGTGGTACGCCGTGGACCCGCTTCAGCCAGTTCCCTTTGATTTGGCGCATCATGTTATTCTGTATAGAAAACATAAAATACCAAGGAGCCCAGAGGATTGGAACACATCTGCTCTGTTTGTCCGTTGCGACTTGGGCTGTTTGATCAGAGTGAAGACTCTCCAGAATGATGTTGCACTGCAGCGGCACGCCGCGACGAAATAAAGAAATTCACAATGCTTGGTGCCAAATTCTAGACAGGCTATGGTCACTGGCATGTCTAAGACAAGCGCGGAAGACATCAAGGACGCGTTCAGCATACTTGGCGCAACTGGCACTCGAGGCGCCGACTGCGCACGCAGCGCAATGGGCGTACCTGGCGCAACTGGCGCCCTTTGCGCGCTAGCGCGCGCACTTGGCGCACTGGCGCGCCTTGCGCACCTAGAATAGTTGAAGCTCGCAAAAATCTGCGCATCTGGCACGCGTGGAGCAGATTGCGCGCCTGGCGCACCTGGCCCGCTTGGCACGTTGGGCACACCCGGAGCATTTGCCGCACCTGGCGCACCCAGCGAACCTGACGCGCCTTCTCGCCCCTGGTGCACATGGCGTCTATTGTTGTTTTCTTTTTGTTGGGTACGGTGTTGTCAGCGCAGGATGGCAAGCCCGTGGCTTGCCAAATGCGGCGAGATCCAAAAGAAAGCGCGGCCACAGACGCTAACCGTCTGGCCTGCAAACGCCATACATGGATTATCTCACCTAGCATCGATGGACAGACCCGTCTGCAATGCTGATCGCATTGGCTGGCGCGGCAGAGTCTGCGAAAGGGGAAGGCGCGATCACCGTCGCAAACATGGACACCTCACTACAACATCTGCCAAGTCGGGCTAAACAGTTGAATCCAGGTCCTGCCCCCCGAGCATCTGATGATATCGGCTGCAAAAACCAACGTATGCGATCGGTGCCTCTAATTCGCCAGCCGCGACGGCGCGCTCCAGGGGTGGCATGCGGCCGGGAAAAACGTGTTGATAACCTTGCCCTCTCGAAACACAAAGAAAGTGGACCCCCTGACGTGCTTGTATAATGCTTGATATATATATATATACAAAAATACACACATATCAGCAAACCTGGATCCAATACAAAAAACGGATCCAAACACTGAGATCTTAGAAACGTGGATCCGGTAAAACCATACAAAAATCAAGAAGTGGATCCAGAAGACCTCTGGGTTGCGCACTGTGCTCAGACCGGCTCACAGGATTGCCAGCAACTCCAGGCCGACGATGCCCATTGATGACCACCTGCCTTGAAGCCTGGCCAATCAGCGGGTAGCTTACCATCCAAAATTGCCTTCCTGAAGTAAACGTTTAACACTTGCTGCTCGCCGTTCGCATGTTGAAAGCCGTCTTTTACCTCCTCGTCTGCACTTGGAGAAGTCATCCAATTGTGGTGGTCGTGCAACGCCTGTCGTATTTCCCGAATGAATGTCATTGTCTGCGCACTCTTGCGCACCAGAATATGAGCAGCGTTTACCATCCGCGCATCATAATAAAAATGTTCAGGGTACGGCTTCCCTAATTCCCTTACAACTCTTGGGCTTGTCCATTTTTTCAGACTAAGGGGTTCCCTGCATGCGCTTTTCCCTTCCCACGCCATGACAATGTCTGACTTCGACTGCTTAAAAGCAAATGCTGACGAAGCTTTCCAAAGAGGATGTCCCCATACCTTGCTGAGCGCTTGCTGTTTCCGTCAGGATAAAGCAACGTGTCTCCGTCTTTTAACATATCCAACTCACGCTCAATCATCACAAATTTCCATGCCCCCAGATTCATATGGCAATACGTCGGGTTTTTTGGCCAACACTCATTTGGGTAGTCCTTGACAGCCCAAGCGTCCTGCCCGGTAAAATTCCGAGGATGCCAAACTCGACACTCATATCCAGCAGCGACGCATGAATCGACGAACTGCTTCGCGTCTGGTCTGAGATCCAAACCAGTATCATATGGAGGCCCCTCCGATCCAAAAGATATCACGACGAACCGACGTGGAATTTCTTTCAACACCATGTCCCCTACATTTTTGTGTTCGTAATCCAGTGAGACCCTAGGCCAATCTCCAGCAACATCATGGTCACAATCGTAGTTGCCATCGCCATCATCCTCGGTTCGCAATCTGAATCCTTCGGAATTGGGCTCACCAACAGGTAGGGTCAAGGCTCGGCCACAACCAACAACCAATGAAAGGATAATCGTAAACTGTTGCGCGTTCATTATTAGGTGAAGGAGTGCTGAAGCTGTTTGTGGACCGAACAAACTCTTCAATCAGCTAGAGGCTTGAGCCAAAATGGCTACGGAGGTGCACATGGCGTCTATG